GATAGTCGCTTGTGCGCTGTCCGACTAAACGGGACAGTAAGGACTCGGAAAGATAGGGACACTCGCCGTCGCCTCTTCGTCGTATCTGCCTATGGCCCTACTGACTGCAGTCCAGACGATGTAAAAGATGAATTTTACAGAACGCTTTCGGACCTCCTCCAAAAAGCTATGCGCTCTGATATAGTAATAAAGGCTGGTGACTATAATGCTCAAGTAGGTAGACTAAGTGAGCAGGAAAGACATAGGTGGATGTTATGGTGTCGCGCCTCAGAGAACAGACAATGGTGACCGTCTGCTGCAAGTACGCTCAGATAACCAACTATTTCTAGCAAACACTAACTTTAGGCATAAGGAAAAGCATCTGTTGACCTGGCGACCCCCGAAGTCGTCTCAACATTGGACGCAACCAGATCACATCCTTATCAGACACCAATGGAGGGGTTCGACAGAGTACTGTCGCTCGTTCTGGGGCACATGTTTAGATTCAGATCATGCCCTAGTGCGAGCTCGTATTTGTTTGAGGCTAAGCCGTGGATCTCCGTAGCATCTACCGAACTGATGGATGCTGAAAGACTCATCCCGCCTGGCCCTAAGTGCGATGAGGAGCGGAGTCAGCTTAGACGCAGATTGACAAAAAACTTAGGAAATGATCGAGAACAGTGGTGGGTGGAGAAAGCGAGAGATATGGAAAAGGCAGTGGCGATAGGCAACGGTAGGTAACTTTTTAGACTCATCGAGTTTTAGTAGCTAGGTTGACTGAGATCTTAGGTAGAATATGCCGATGACATAGTCCTACTTGATGAAGACGCTGACAAAATGCAGTCTTCTGACTATCATGAGCAGCAATGCAAGCATGTCCGGGATGCGGTTCCCCCACCCGAAATGCAAAATGTTGCTTCAGGATTGGGTTGCATCGGCACCTGAACTAGTGATAGGGAGTGAAGCAGTTGAGTGTGTTGACCGCTTCACTTATCTTGGGAGTCTCATCAGCGCTGATGGCCTGGTAACTGACGAAATCTCAGTGCGGATACAGAAGGCTCGATTGTCTTTTGCCAACCTGCGTCACCTATTGCGTATGTGAGATATACGTTTGCTGACTAAAGGACGATTGTACTGCTCAGTAGTTCGCTCCGTCTTACTTTATGGCTGTGAAACATGGCCAGTGAGAGTAGAAGATATTCGTAGGTTATTGGTTTTGGATCATAGATGTCTTCGAAGATTGCTCGTATATCCTGGGACAACCGAGTGAGCAACGCTGTTATCAGGAAACAGGTGCTAGGTACGAATGACAGATCAATAGATGAAGTAATGAAACTTCATCAGCTCAGGTTGGGACATGTACTGCGTAGGCCTAACCGCCGACTGCCTCGACGAGCTTTTTTTTGTAGTGTAGGAGTAGGTTGGAAGAATGTTAGGGGCTTCCAAACCAAAACATGGAAGAAATCCATAAAGTCATTGACTGAGTCATGTCGGTAGTTGTCGACTACTTGGTTGGGGTCCGCGAGATGACAATAATCGATGGTTAGATACCCTGAATGACATGGCTCGTAACCGTTTGGAATGGCGCCGGTGCATTTATTCTTTGTGCTCTCTCAAATCCTAATCTTATGGATTCTTCAACAACTCTAGTTTTGACTTTCTAAACTTATCTGACTGAATCATACTTCTTGAATAATATCTTATCCTAACCTCTCCGATTACTTCGAATATCTTTACTACCTCTTCTACTATTGGATTTGAATTGACAATTATATCTCTGTGGTGATGTGGTATGGCGACATGAACTGATGTACTTACATACGAAGTTCTACGTTGCATCTGGCTGACTGACTGTTCTGAACAATGAACCTCAGACACACCACACACAGGAAAAATCTTGGGTTAAGATAAGCAGTGAACGCTTGCAACAGGCAAAAAGGGGGGTATGTTACAAGTGGTAGGTCTCGCCGAAAGATTCCAACCGTAGTTCTAATCGGTATTGAGAAACAGATGCAATGCCAAAGTTCGAAGTGATAGGAGACACTTCCAGGTGAAGCTACTAAAATACAAGCGAACCCTAAGTATCTGTTTAGGTTCATGACGAAAAGAAAACGTACAAACCAGGGTGTTTGCGCTTTCAAAGGTCCAAATTGCGAGGATCTTACCAACCTATAGATGTCTGAGATCTTCAACACAAACTCTACCGATCAGTTAAACTAGATATCTACATGTCCAGAGTACTACGGAAACCCAAAGAGAGCTGACGGTCTAGAGAATATCCATATTACTCCTGACTTAGTAATAAGGAAACTAAAATCCTTACGCACAGAAAAATCATCAGGTTGTTACAATATTCGCTCCATAGTTTTGAGACAGTATTCAGAAGTCCTAACTTCGCCGATATGTAACCTGTATAGGCATTCACTTGAGTCACACCAACTCCCAGCTAGATGGAAACAAGCTACTCTCTCTCCAACCTTCAAAGGAGGAGATAGGAAGGGTCTGACCTGTTAGTGACAACTCGCATTACTACCAGTACTACTTAAGGCAATGGAAGGACTAGTGAATGAGCAATTGAAAGGGTCGACGGATGATAACAAAATCCTTAATGATGCTGAACATGGGTTTCGGAAAGACAGGTCATGAGCATTCAATCTTCTCATAACACAGGACAGCTGTAAAAACCACTTGGACCGAAAAATACCAGTGTGCATAATCTTTTTTGACTTCACATAAATCTTCGACACAGTACCTCACGTACTCCTAATTAAGAAGGATACAAAAATGAGCTTCACTGACACATTTCTATCTTCGATAAGAAACCACTTTGGGCGAAGAAAGCTTCGCATCACGGTAAAGAGTGCATGCGGGTTGGTGTGTGTCAACACTGGAAGTCCCACGGGGGACAATATTAGATCCACGTCTCTTCCTATTATTCATTAACGATCTGTTAGTCCGGCGGCATTGATCTACGCAGACGACTGTACTCCAAAGGGACCTTACGTTCATTCAGGAATGTGCAGTGAAAAATGGTTTAAAACTAAACCAGTCAAAATGTCACGTTAGACACATTCTGCTCACCTGACACAAGCTACCTTCGCCCTGAACGGAGGTCGGCTCCCAAATGTCTCCTCGGAAGACTATTTCTGTCTAATAACCACTGAAAGCCTTCACATCAGTTCGAACTATATAGGGTACGCAGCCAAGGCTAATTCAACTGTTTACTTTATGCGACGACAACTTTCTACTATCAACCCAGAATTATACTAAGCGTTCTTTTAGACATACGCGCGCCCAAACCTCGAGGTTCACCAAGTCGTCACACTTCCTCTTCCCAAAAGAGACATCAACCTCATAGATAATGGCGTACAAAAAATTAAGCACTCTGAATCATCCCGACATGAGCATCTTACCGAGGCATTACCACCACTCTCCTGGAGGTAGTCCTCGAAAAATCACTCAGCAAAGTGCGAATACTTAGGTCCGTGCAGACATTTTTATCAATAAGAGTCGTCGCAACATGGAATGCTTTTCCAGCCGGGGTGACTACAGACCTCTCAGTGAACAGCTTTAGAAAAGACTTTATAAACACGCACTCACACACGGATAATCATCTACCTTGTGGACCAGCTGTGCCTGATGCGTGTCTTGAGACTTGCTAGTTGCTAATATTACCATCTCCTAAGATCACTAACTTAAGCCGTTTCGCTTGTTATATCCGTTTCACCTCCCTTGCCTACACTTCAGTCCTCTCCCACAATATTCACCACCAATTATTAAACTAAATCATCTACTTATTTACTTGCTACTGAAGTTTTATTCTTGTTAGCATTAGAATTTTTTCCCTTACTATTCTCCACACTGCAACTAACTGATCTCCGGCCTGGTAACGTGTTAGGTGCTGGTATCTAGAAATTCTACTGCCCTGCTTTAAGTAGAGACTTGATAATCACTTAATCACATATGGATTATCATCGCCCTCTTGGACAAGCTGTTCATGATGCATATCTTGATACATTCTAGTTATTATCACTGCTATCTCCTCAGATCACTTACTTTATCTATCTAGCCCATTATCTCTGTTTCATATCCTTTGCCTACAATTCTGTCCTCTCACAATCTTCACCACCAATTAATAAACTAAATCATCTATATATTACTTAGTTCTGAAATTTTATTCATATTAGCATTAGAATTTTATCCTTACTATCCTTATTATTCTCCACATTGCAACTAACTGATCTCCGGTCTAGTAATGCGATAGCTGCTGGTATCCATAAACCCTGCTGCCCTGAAGCAAACGTTTTCATTCAAATCCCGTGACATACAAACTCACAACCAACTGCCAAATGACTAGAATTAGACAGTCGAATGGCTAGACCCCCATTCATTGGACACTACCGAACACCTGGAACCGTACTGAAAGAACCGGAATCGAGCGTAAAGAAATCAACTGGTTTATACTAGCTCGCGAAAAAGATACTGGACATTGGAAATCACGAGATATACAAACTAATAAACAACTGAAAAAGGAATAGAATTAGACAGTCTAGTAGCTTGACCCCCATCCATTGGAAACTACCAAACACCTAGAACCTTACCGAAATAACAAGAATAGAATACAAATAAATCAAATGGTCTATACTAGCTCGTGAAAAAAAAACGGATCATCAACTTTACTAAGAGGCTATGTGATTTTTCCCAAGTTTATCCAAAAGAATTACTTAATTACTTACTTACGCCTGTTACCCTCAATGGAGCATAGGCCGCTCACCAGTTTTCTCCAACCAACTATGTCCTGGGCTTCCCTCTCCAGTTCTGTCCAATGTTTGTTCATTCCTCTATCCAAAAGAATGAATAAGAAATAATCTGAACCGTCGATGACTATGATTTTAGTTAATTCGAAACGATGTGTTGTACAGGTTTTGCTATCATTATTGGGGATATTATGTATCCGGGTTACAGTAATTGAGCTGATAAATAAATACATTGAACAAATTTTTGTGTATTTTCCGCGGTAGCTCTGAGTGTGTTGTCAGAGTGATGATCGATTCATTTTTTGATGACTCATCAGTTAAGAATGAACTTAGCAATGACTTTTCTACTAACTGTTACTCCTCTGTTGATCTTCAGTCTGATTTCTCACTCGACAATGTGGAAATATACCCAGAAATACCTAATAATGATACATATGGTGCTCTATTTCTGATGGACTCTGCGGACCTTTTGGATGTACGCGAAGAAGTCATTGGTGAAGATCATTTCTCGTCAAATCTTGACCAGCCACCGTACTCTGAAGGGCTCCTAAGGAAGTCTGGACCCTTCGCTGCGAAGAGTTCACGAATTAATGCTAGTCATAAAGATAAAGGTGCGTGTCTGTTTTCGCTTTACTATCTAGTGGGAAACACATCGAAATCCCCATAAGAAATGTTCGATTAAATTAAATTAATTACTCAAAAGCCTACAATCTATCAGCAACCAAAATCATGATTCCTAAAGCGAGTAAAAAGATAAAAAAAATACCACGGAGAATCTGATTTTTGACAAAACTTCTAATAGCAGGATTTTTGTGTACTCGTTTCTAGCACTTAACAGTTTATTTCTATTGCTTGCTAAGCAGCATCGCCATTTTTCCCGGGTTTGGTTTTTTTAGTTGTTTTTTTTTAAATTTTGAAACTGTTATATTCAGTTAGCTGATTTCAGTGAAATACCGTGTCATTTTGCTCAATTTTACATTAAGATACGCTTCAATTAAGTGACAGGAAACATTCTACTTTGTAATCCTATTTAATCTATTACGAGTAATTTTCAATGAGATTACACATCCAGCTTTCCAGTGTAGTAGTCTAACATAAACTATCCGTAACTAGTGTAGTCTCAGTCATGTTTATCAATCAACATTTATCTTCGTATCCATTGCCTAAACGTTCTACAGCTAACTCAAATTTATGTTCCAGTTCACTTGTTAAACAACACATCTAACTGGTATCTCTTGCTGTAAACAATCTGTCCTAAGTGTACTGTTCGTCAGTTAACTTCGTGTATGTGTGTCAATCAACAAATGTAGCGTTTAAAAGTGTAAAGCCAGTATTATGACGTCATGTTGATATTTTCCATCCTTAACCTTATCCATTACCGCTAATACTGCTACAACTACTACTATGGGATTTGAACCAATCATTCCATCTCTCTATGCTAATGTGGTATGGCATTTTGAGCTGATGTACGTATGTGCCAAGTTCTCCTTTGTAGCTGACATCTTTGACTTTATATGAAGTCAAAAGTTATCGAAGAAAGTATTGTGGCCAACCCTAAGCACTTTACCTTTTAACCCTGTTGGAACACCTCCAATTGAATAAAAGTTTAAATAATAGCCCAGTTTCATCAGATTTCTCCAAAAACATTTTTCCAGAGTAAGATTAGCTAGGTAGTGCCATATATTCTCATTTCTATCACCATATTTCAGGTCCTTTTGTTTACCATCAACTACTTCCTAATTGTACCTTGAAATTATTAATGAATCATTGTTAGACCACCATTAGAAACCTTAAAGCACTGGACGGCCGTTTCGTTTGGGTAAGGGACCAATGGAGTTCAACCCCGTCACGTGTAAGCAGTAACTACCTAAGACAGTGAACGAGGTTCGCAAAATCCTTAGCATGATCAGAGTTAATCATTAACACTGTCGGATGCCGGCTCAGTGGTCTAGAGCTTAAGCGTTCGCACGCGAGACCTGAATGTCTTAGGTTCGATCCCCGCTAACGTGGATCGTGGCTGCGTACTGCTGATGGGTCCCATACTAGGAGGAAACAGCCGTCCAGTGCTTCCAGGTTTCTAATGGGGGCCTAACATTGGATAATTTATGATTTTAAGGTAAGACTTACATTTCTGTTGTCAAGTCCGCATAATGCTTTGGTTTTCATAGCGTACATCAGCAAGAGACTGATATCTATAGTAAAATCTAGTATCTGTAAGAATTAATCTACCTACAGATGAATTTCCTAATCACTCCCTACACTGTTTCACACAGTGTTGGCACTATCAAAGTTGAAACAAAGAAGCGGCCAGACCAAAACATGGCAGAAATCCATGAAGTCACTGACAAGTGGACTGAGTCATGTTGGTAGATGTAGGCTACCTGGTTGGGGTCCGCGAGACGATAGTCATCGGTGGTTAGAGACCTTGAGTGACATGGCTCAAAATCGTTTGCAATGGCGCAGGTGCATCCACTCTTTGTGTTTTATGAAATTCTAAGCTTCTGCATTCCTCATAATCTCTACCTTTCTCCTTCTAAATTTATCTTACTGAATTATACTTCTCGAATCAAATCTTCGCTCCCTAATCTTCTTCATTACTGCTAATACTTCTGTTATTTCTATCACTGTTGGATTTGAACTGACAGTTGCGTCTCTGTGTTGATGTGGCATGGCAACCTGAACTGATGTACTTATGTACTAAGTTCTGTGTTGTATCTGTCTGTCTGTCTGTCTCTGCTTTTGAAACTTAATCTCCCTGTGAAACGTGAATTACTACAATTAACGTGATTATAAAAAAAACTTCAAACGATTTTATAAAGTTTGTGATTAGCAAATAAACAGAGCATAGTTATACAAAAACCAGAGCAAATCAAAGTAGTGTGTTTAACAAAATTATTGGTACGTTAGTGTGTTGATCACACTAGACAGTATCAATTAACAGGTTTGTTTATTTAAGTTGTTTTGGGAACTATATGCTTGTATAACCTCTCATTAATAACCTTAGTTAGCATAGATCAATGTTGATTTCTGTGACACATATATAATCACCTAATTTGTCTCCAAATTTTGAACATGATGTCATTTTACATATCTTTCTGTTTAGTTTCATTGCATTAGATTTCCTAGTTAGGTTCCTATGATAATTAATATGTTTTCCCACTAACTAACATAAACTGACCATTAGCATAGGCACATACTTGTGATGAAGTATTGAAACTTCATCAGTTGAGGTGGTTGGGACATGTGTTACGAATGCCTAACCACCGACTGCCTCGTCGAGCTGTGTTTTGCGATATAGGAATAGCTTGGACGAAAGCTAGGGCGGCCAGACCAAAACATGACAGAAATCCATGAAGTCGCTGACAAATGGACCGAGTCATGTTGGTAGATGTAGGCTATCTGGTTGGGGTCCGCGAGGCGAAAGTCACCAATGGTTAGAGACCCTGAGTGACATGGCTCAAAACCTTTTTGCAGTGGCGCAGGTGCATACATTCTTTGTGTTCTCCCAAGTTGTAACCTGAATTCCTCATCACCTCAATCTTTCTCTTTCTAAATTTACCTCACTGAATTATACTTCTTGAATAATATCTTCAAACCCTAATCTCTCCGATTACTTCTAATACTTTTACTACCTCTACTAATATGGTATTTGAATTGACAATTATATCTCTGTGCTAATGTGATACCACAACTTGGACTGATGTACTTACGTGCAAAGTTCTACGTTGCTGTTGATGATGATACTTGTGCCAGGTCCTTTATTGTTCCTGTCAGACATTGTTAGATCTCATAAGTTGCCTGATGTTGATGTTCATTACACACAGCGTCACAAATAGTTAAAAATAATCATTGAATTCGTCTCCGAGTAGTCGTTCTTCACAAATCAAATGAAAGATTTTTGTGGGACTTTAAACATTTGACCTATAACAACGTAGTAAATTTTACGACTGCACTAAAGGCAGTACAAATACTGTGGCTTAACTAATAATCACTTATATTTCAGTTTAAAAGATGGACTGCTCAGCTATTTCCAATAGTTCATTAACAATAAACATAGACGTAGCCTCCTATTTCTATGAATTCACATATTGTCCGAAGTCCTATAGAGTTTGAATAATAACTACTTTATTCCATACTGTGCTAAGCACAAACTTCAGATAGAAGAAGTGAAGCATTCGAATTTCTCCACGTTTAACCTGTAGCTTGTTCTGCTAACCTCGATCTTGATTGGTTGCTGTTGTGCTGATGATGTTCATTGTTCAGTAGAAGAACAATGAAAGCTTCACAATCAAAACAATCAGCTCAGAGAACAAAACATCACCACCACAATCATCCCCCCTGAGCTACAAGTTTTCTCTACCATCTCTTTGGCTCGTGTTAGGCTATGTTAAATGTTATTCTCAAACACCAATTTCTCCTTCATCATTTAAGAAAACTTATATACCAATTGCTTTGATGCATATTGTTTTGTTTATAGGCAGTAAACAACACAATATTTACCATAACAATAAACATTCTAACAATGAACTAAAGCCCAGTCAACAATGTTCATGGAATGATGATACATTTGATGAGATAACCAATAATAAAACTTATCTATGTCATCCTGATAGCCCATTATCAATTACCAATGATATTCGAATAAATTCATCATCTGATAGTATCGATGAAGAATTATTTGACAATAAAGATCATATCATCATCAATCATAATCATAATATTCATGATGATATTAATGATGGTGATGGTGAGGAGGAGGAGGAGGAGGGAGAGGATGAAGTGATTTCTTTAGAAAGACTATCTGATCTTCATATGCCATTGCCATTATTTCATACAGAATCGAATTATTCCAATACTTCACAAATTCATCCATCTGATACTGAAATGGATACATCTAGTTTATTTTCATCGAATCATTGTATGACTACAAATCAATCTGATGATGATGATGATGATGATGATGAATATATTCGCATGAAACATCTTAATACTACTACTACTACTACCACTAATACTACTATTACTAATACTACTACATCGATTAATAAAGATTCATTGAATATCAAATTAACTGATGAATCTACCACTGAAATCTCTCCTCACATACCTGTCTCATCATCATCATCATCAGCATCAACATTATTTCCTACAAGACAAACTGATCTATGCATACAATCACCATCTCATTTAACGCATACAATGAAGCATTCAACCTATTCACCATCACCACCACCATCTGTTCGATCACAATCAACTTGTTTTTCATTCAAATCAAAATATCG